CTCTATTTTGGTCTGTTTGCTCTCGACCCCCTTCGCCTCAACCCTCATCTGTCCCCTTCCTCTTCTCCTCACCTGTTTAAGGTAATGCACTAACCCCTTCGTTGGGGGTCCTTTTTCTTCAGGAACGCAGGCGTGTAAGCCTCCACACTTCTGCTTACAGGCTCCACTGTGCACATTCAGGCGTTGCCCTCTCCGCGGCTCTGAAATTAGCTTCTGAGCTCAGTTCTCATTTCCTTTGAACCCCAAAGTAGCCTCTCAGACCCACTCCCCTTTTCTGGGGTCACAGGACCCTTGGTTTTCTGTCGGTGCTGTGGTGGTTAAGCGTGTGTGTCCTCGTGGCTGGGCTGTGGTTCTGAGTGGCTGGGCAGCCGGCCGTAGTTCTTCCCCACGGTGTGACCGGCATCATCTCCGCGTGGAGTCTGCTGCGAGCAGCTAAGTAGCTGCTTTGGGGGGTGGCCTGCTTCCAGTATATAAGGAGAAGCTCTGGGGAAGGTCTCTAGCTTCTTGGCACACCTGGATCCCGCATCTGGCCGAGTCTTCATGTCAACGGCCTGCCATGTTGCCTGCTGGTCTTGGCCTTGAACCAGTGGCCTGCTGTGTTGTTGCCTGATCTGGGATCGTGTCACTTTGCCTGTTGACCTTGGGTTCATCAGCCTCAGTAGCCAGCAGCTGCGTAAGTCAGAGAAAGCCTCCAGCTCCAGTGGGCTTAGAACAAGAGGCGGAGCTGAAGCCCAGGGTGGAGGGCCTTTCACCCGGGCACTAGAGCTGGCACCTTGAACTCTAGACTTCTAGCCTCCCAAACAGTAAGCATCGATGCCTGCTTGTTAAGCCATCCATCTGTGGTGTTCCTGTGAGAGCAGCACTAGAGAACCGAGACAGGTGTCTTCCCAGCCATTACAACTACAACTCCCAGCATCCCCTGAGGCAGGTGTGGCCACATGATCAAGTTCTGGCCAATGGGATGTGAGTGGACGTGACAGGCACAGCCTGGAAGCCTGCCCACCTCCCCTCGTGGCTGGAATGCAGGGTCTTGGTGAGCTGTTTGGGACCATGTCAAGGAG